GAATATTCAAGGTTGGCAGGGACCTCTAGAGATCATCCAGTCCAACCTGCCCGCTCAAGCAGGCGCACCTAGAGCATGTGGCACAGGGCGGCATCCAGGCAGGTTTGGAAGAGCTCCAGAGAAGGAGTTTCCACAACCCCCCTGGACAGCCTGTTCCACTGCTCTGTCACCCAACACGCTGGCTTTTGTGAGTATCTGCATTCAGCCTTGGGCTGGGGGCTAACGCAGGTACATGTGCATTCCTGCCCTTACAAACATGTGCCCGCAGYGGGCTTGGTGCTTCCCCGGCCTCACAGCTCAGGTTGAGCTTGGCCTAGAGATCTGCATAAGCTGTAGCCAGTTACAACCTTGAGCTTTCTTTGCCATCTTATGCCTTAACTTTATATCCTTTAACGTATATMTTCCTTTTATCTGTGTATATTGTTTAATATAGCTTAGCTTCCCATTCACAGTAATGGCAAGAGAAGTGCTCGTGCATAGATTAACATTTTGACAGAATAAAACTTATACTAATAAAACTTACACTAATAACTGTACTAATAAAACTTATACATTTTGACAATCAGTGACAGCTATTTTTCTGACTGTGATAACAAAGTAGTTCATTAAATCTTCTCATGCATCTATTTCTTTTTTTGTAAGCAGAATATAGCTTGCAAGATATTGGCCGTGATTATCATTGTCCTCCTGAATCAGGATGTTCTTGGACACTGACATAACTTAGGAGACTGGAACTTTTGCACTACTTCCTAGTAAACCATGCATAGGGCTTTGTACTTAGTTAGCTGAGAGGAAGAAGCAAAAGAGAGCAACAGAGACCTTTACGTTCAAGTCATCAGCATGCTGGAATAGAGAGTAAGAGAGCTTTTGTTGTTGGTTTTTTTTGTTTTTGTTTTGTTTTTATGCATACAGTCTCAGATTTGCTGACTATCAGTTACGTTAACCAGTTATGTCAACTCCTTGCAAAGGGAGATATTCTTGAACCAAGCAGCGATGAGAATCAGGGTGTCCTAGACCCGTCATGCTCTTGTTTCTGAACTTTGCTTTGGAGTGTCCCTGCTAACTTTTAAGATTCTAGTGAAATATTTCATGACCTAATCTGGGTTTATTGAAAGSAACTTTCTGCTTTATCCTTGCTATGCTTAAAGGACAAGGTGCGTATTCCTTATAATGTTTTTGCTACATCAAAGATTGTTTCTTTCCAAGTGTTCACAGTCACTGTGGGTAGAGCTGAACGAGTGTTTAGGAGTGTTTCTTAACTGCCTTTATCAATCAGTTCTTACGCCCCTGGATGACACTATTGGAAACATGACGCCCAGAGGCCAGTTGCTTCCCCGGACGCCTGGTTCGTTGCTTCGCCAGCCATGTAAGATTTTCTTTTCTTCAATTTCCAGTTAAATGAAGAATATGCTTTAACTTCGTAAGTGATAATAATTCCTAACAAAAAGCTCATGGAAACACTGGAGTGCACCCAGTGAAGGGCTGTGAAGATGATTAAGGGACTGGAGCATCTGGGCAACAAGGATGAATAAAGGGAGTTGGGATTGTTCAGTCTGAAGCCTTATCCATGAATGTAAATGCCTGATGGGAGTAGAGAGAGGTAGATCCAGAGTATTCTTGGTGGCGCCAGCAGAAAGACAGTGGACACAAACCATAGTCATAGCACATGTAATTCTGTTTAAACACAACAAAACTATTTTTTTTAACTGTCAAGACAGGTTTCTTTTTTTTTCCTAGGGTGGTAAATCTTTCCAAGCATTTTTTAACATATACTAAATACCTGTGGGAGCACCAGCTTCCATGTCACTGTGCAGGAGCATCTGGAACAGATCCAGTGCTTAGTAGAGCAGATTTGTGGTTTGCCATTTGCCTTAAGGTTTTGGAGACCAATTTCCAAGTGTACCTGGAGATCTAATGTTTTGCATGCTCATGATGTGAATTATGGAATCAAGGAACTCTTAAATAGTAGTATTTGAGATACACTGTGTTGGTGTTCACTCTGATTGAGTTTTATATGGAATGCTGCCTCTTCTTGAGGAAGAACTGAAATGACAGTAGATGCAATCTGCCTTTACAGAAATTTGTCCCTGAGTTGGGAAATGAGGCCCAGAGTGTGCCTCAGACCCTGTTAATAGGGTGTTTGTATACCCTAGCATAAATACGTCTGTAGAAGGTAAAGTTACATTATTAGCACTTGTGGGTTTGGTACGAGCCTTGGGATGGAGCAAAGTAATGACGGACAGGAACAGCTTATTTCTCCACGAGACTGGTTTGCCTGTTTTTTCTGTGGCTACAGGCTGAATTTCATAAATACTTGGATCTCGGTTGAAAGATTTCTTTTGGAACGCCTAGTGTAGAGGACAATTGCCTTAATTATGTTTCCTTTGCAGAAAAAGGTCTTTCTCTTTCAGTTAGTGCCCTATCTCGAAGCTCCAGCAAGCTGCCAGATATCTCTGTCATCTTGGGAACAGGAGGAAAGTCACCTCAAATTCTGCASACTCCTGGACTTTTTGGCAGCCTCTCCATGGTAAGAGGGCCAGAGCAAATCTTTCTCTTTTGCTCATGTAAAACTTGTAACTTCTTACAAGTTTGCAGTGTTTCAGTGTTGTTTGCCCCAGAGAATCTGTGGGTGGTTCCAGCTTGCTGTATTGCTGTGATGTTTTCTCTCTGTTCCTGAAGATGATGCAATGAGGTATAAATAGGGTTTTAAGGACTTCCTAAATATACCATATGTGCTAAGCTGCTCCTGTCACATCAGATTTGACTGCAAAAATCTTGACTTTGCTTGTTTTACAGATTCCTCAGACAGAAGTGTTTTATATCATCAAATTAAATTTGTAGATTTTTTTTTCTCATTTTGACACTCTCCAATATGAGAGAATACAAAATACAGCTCAGAAGATCAAGCATCTCCAATGGCTGTTCTGATAGCATTCATTATCTTCTTACTGTATCTTTGGATAACCATTGATTAGAGAAAGCATCAGGAGGGATTTTTAAAATACTTTATCTCCATTTATTTTCTAAATCGACTCAAAGTGAGTTAAGATGTGATTTTTTTTGTCCCTGATTTTTTTTTTTCCCTTGAGTCGTGTTTGTATTAGCTTAGTATTTAGGGCTCTTATTTGGATATAAAGAATCCTGTTTGGGTTATTGGGGAGAAACTGGGGACTAGGTAACTGTTTTCAAAGGAGGGTTATGGAAGAAAAAAAGCTTTAAATTATGTCTTATAGAAGTTTATCTGATGAACACTCATTAGACTTGTAGGACTCATAAGAACACTCATTAGACTTTTTGTATTTCCCTCAGAGAGCTGGTGTGATTTTACTGGAACTGAGTTTCTTGTTACTTTTGCCCTTCTGCTCTGGGCAGTTCGGAGTGCCACAGCGTTCTGTTCTGGTGGGCTAGGGGCAATAAAGGCAGAAAGAAATTGGCCAAGAGCAACACTGTGGGCAGAAACTGTGRCATATAAGGAAGAATAAGTGGTATTCACATACACACAGGTGTGTGGCCACAGTTCTTTGGTCTGTTTAAGCCACTGCTCTGTTATCAAGTCTCCTGTTCTTACTCGTTTGGACAGGACCATCTTAACAGTCAGGGAAAAGAATCTCCCAGTGGCACAATTCTTGGTTCTTCCATATGGTGTTAATTGCTGCCCTGGAAACAGCTGTAGGAAGCTGCCCTGTCTGTGCAATCGCTCCTGCCTGGGCCAGTTGGCTGCTTTCATGTCAGATATGGTAGCAGATACCTCCCCTGAAATAGCCCAGGAAAGTCTAGGTATGTCTGTGTCTCCCCATTTCACTTTACCAAGTACTCATTTTAAAAATATATTGCTTTGTTTCATAAAATACTTAAAATCTGAATCAGAAACCCTTTCTTTGGGCTTTCAGTCTTCTTGGCGAGTTGCCTTAAAACTATTTTGTTTGTTCTTTCACAGATGCATGGTCAGTATTATTTGGCCTTCTTTCACTTTGGGCAACATAAATTAACTAGTAAAGGTTTAAGATGATAGAATGTGATAGGGCGGAGGAATGCATCTGTTTTGAACCAAAAAGTGGAAAAAAATACAGTGTTTTAAAATTCAAGGTCTTACTAAATTAATCTATAGGTTAATTACTTCCTGAATAAATTAATTGAAAATTACTTGTCACTTTTCCTGACAAGTTTGTTTGTTTGGAAGTGTTTGTTAAAGACAATTATGTTTTATCTCAAGGCAGTACATTATTAATTTTCAGAATTTTTTGAACTCTGTACTAAAAATAATTACTTGAGTGATTTTTTTTTATATATATATATATATATCAGTCTGAAATTGTTCTTTATTTTCCTTATTCTGTTACATTTTKTAGTTGGATGAAAGCAACTGGACAATGGCACTGTCACCTCAGCAGACAGGAATGTTTACAAATCTAGACATGTCCAATATGACAGAAGATGTCACTATGAGCGCTGTGCTGCTGCGTGAGGACGATCCTGGGGAAGCTGGTAGGATGACTGGAAGTTTTCATAATAATCACATCTTGTAGAGTGTGTAAACAYATGTCATTATTTTAATATTTTTATGTATTATTTTGCTGATACACTTGGTAACAAGAGCAGTCTACTTGGAAAGTATCCTTTCAAGTTGCTGAGGTTTATCCAGTTGGTGTGTTTTGTGCAACCTGATGTTGAGGGRCAATCAGTAGATGCTTTGGTGGTTTAAGGCACCGTTTCTCCAGTTCTTCCTTCTCCAAGTCTTCTCTTTCATGGAGAAACATAGAGGAGTTTGTGTTTAAAACTGTCCCTCGGACAGCTTTATAACCAAAAACATGTAATTATTTGAYGTGCACAAAGCTTACTGTTTATCTTCTGCCTAACTTTCTTAGCTGGTGTTTATGATTTAATGGGATATAAATAGTTCATATCATCATTGCCTGGATTTCAGTTTATTGATGGCTATTTTGTCATCTGAAGAGTTTTTCTAGTAGAATGGGGTTTGGARGTTTTGTTTGTTTTTAACCAAGTTTTCCCAAGTCTTGCTAACATGGCTTAAACTGCTTTTTGCTTAAATATATTCTAGCTACTATGAGCATGTACTCAGATTTTCTGCACTCCTTCTTGAAGCATACATCAACTACCATTTTTGAACTGGTGGATGAGTATGAAAGTATTTGCAACAACCAGGTAAATTGTTGGTCGTTTTTGTGTTCTCTGAGTTGGATTGCTGTTTTTCTTGAAGCTGAGATGTCACGATGCTRAACATAGATGATTTAAATCTTCAATTTGGTTGCAGTCTTGTGAGTCATTGAATGGCAGCACTGATGAGCATCTCTCTCTGCTCTTGTGCTACTTTGGCACAGAAATGTCCGTTATGTCACTTGCTAAATTTTTAAGTGTTTGTTGCAGGTACCAAGTGGTGATGAATATGAGCAAAGCAGAGATATTTGTGTTGATAAAAGTGAATTGAGTACATGACTCTCAGATATAAATAAATACACTGTATCACAGTACTTTTATTGATCYCCAGTACATGCTGAATAAGCTGGCCATAAAGGCTTCCACAGCAGGTTTCCAGCATCCTTGCTTTTAGACATTGTTTTTGATTTTCATCGGCTGTTGATTGCTAGTGACAGGAGCTGACAGTTTGGAAAGAGGACAATATGCTGCTATCAATAAGTGTTGGTCACASAGAAGAGGGCAGATCATTTTGTTGATGTTGGTTTTGAAAGGCTTTGCACCTGTGTCCCTGTTAAGAAAATGATTTCAGGGTAGAAGAAGGTTGCCAGCTGTGTGTGTTCTGTACAGATTAATCTGATTTGGGGACTGATGGAGAATGCTGAGGTCTTTAAGGAAACGTGTACCGTAGTCCTGTGCCCAAATGGGAAGGAGAAAAGGAAAGCTGAGTTATCATGTGGAACTTTAAAGCTGAAGTGGAACAGGAGGTTTCAGGGAGTCCTCTTGCTGATCACTGTTAAGAAGGTTACTATCTATATGATTGTGGAAGACAGAGTGGTTGTTTTAAGGCACCTGGAATATGCAAAATTAAAGTTAGACGTTGAGGCAGCATTTGTCATCCCGAAAAGATTGTTTGTGCTTAGAAAAAAATGATGGTGGGCAGTACTAACCAAATGTAAATTTATTTACATCAGGTGAATATACTGGGGAAAATTGTTTATCGAGCAACTCCTGGACAGCAGAAGTTTTCAAAGACTGCCAGTGTCCTGTGGCTTCTCAAGCAGGAGATGGTAACATGGAGACTCTTGTCCTCACTTTATAGGTAACGCCTTTGAAAGCACAGACTGTATATTTTTTAATTGATCTCTTTCCTGGAGTTATTGTTTGTGAAATGATGAATCTTGAATGAAGTAACTATTAAGCATTTTTAATGGAACTAGATGCTTATAATTAAACCTATTTATTATCATGGAATCATAGAATCCCTAAGGTTAGAAGGGAACCTTAGAGATCATCMAATCCATCCCTCTGCACACACASGGTCACCTAGAGCACATGGCACAGGGCTGCGTCCAAGCAGGTTTGGAAGATCTCCAGAGAAAGAGACTCCACAACCTCTCTGGGCAGCCTGTGCCAGGGCTCTTGTCACCCTCACWGTSAAGAAATATTTCCATAAGTTCCTGTGGGACTTCTGGTGCTTCACTTTGTGGCCRTTTCCTCTAGTCCTCTCAGTGGCCACCACTGAAAAGAGGCCGCCCCCTCCTCCTCCCTGCCTCCCTTGAGGTATTTATACACGCTGATCAGGTCCCCCCTCAGCCTCCTCTTCTCCAGGCTGAACAGGCCCAGCTCTCTCAGCCTTTGCTCACAGGGCAGATGTTCCAGGCCTCTGATCATCCCGGTAGCCCTGCGCTGGACTCTCTCCAGCAGCTCCACATCCCTCTTRTACTGGGGAGCCCAGAACTGCACACAGTCTCCAGATGTGGCCTCACCAGGACTTTGTATAGGGGGACGACCACCTCGGGGACAACCACCTCCCTCGACCTGCTGGAGATGCTGTTTTCCATCTGTTAATGGAAAGGAAATTTACCAACAATGCTACTTCTATTACCTTTGTAGCTTTTTGCATTTTCATATATTTTTTTCTTTGTAAAGGTAGCTTTAAGCACTTTATTTCAATGTGCCATGCAAGCAATGGGTATTATGCATTTTGGTGKTTTTTTTCTAGCTTTCTTTTAACCATTAAGGTTTGCAATTTTATTTCTAGAGATAGAATACAATCTGCACTGGAGGATGAAACTGCATGTGAAATCACAGTAAGCTTCTTYGGTGGGGGTGGGAAAAAATGAAGTTTTCTGAAGCAGTCTATTTTAAAGCTAAATGCTTGCTCCTACAATTCTAACCTTTCAAACATTCGAGATTTAAGATGAAAGAAAATTTAAGATTGATTTGATTTTTATTGAGATAAATATTAAACAGCTATATATTGTGAAAAGCTAGTTTACCTAAATATTCAGCTTTAAATGGAAACTATGAGTGTGAAGGATCTTAAAAGGTATTGTTTGTATCTTAAGCTTTTTTCATACACCTAGAAGATTCTGGAAATAGCTGGAGATATATCTATATGTGTGTGTGTGTGTGTGTGTGTGTGTCGGTCAATAGTCATAATGTTTTTGTGGGACAGGCATAATTTTGCTCTTCTTAGAAGAAGTACATGTGATCTCAAGCTGTCTAGCACTTAGCAATCCCAATTGTCATTTATCTTGAGAGAAATCTTTGCATTCTTGGTTTAGCAGTAATCATCTTGTCTCTGCCAACAAGGCTTTCAGCATTTGCTGCCAGAGTATGTTTAGGAAGATAAAACAATAAGGCAAGTCACTCTGCCTTTGTAAAATMTATGATTGTGGCTGCTTTCTTAGTCATAAAATAGCTTTTGCTAGGATTCCTGCTGCACACTTGCTGGGGGGTGGCTTGGCTTTCTTTGGTTGGTTTGTTCTTGAAAAAGCCTCTTCTGTTCTGTTTGTTGCAACTCTAGTGAGAGCCAACAATGTGGAAGAGCAGATAGAAGGATGGGGGAGTTTGTTTTTATTTATTTATGTTAAGGATGCATTAAGGTCGTGGAAAATGTCTTTTATCTTAAGTCTACACGCATAAATGAGATTTGAAGTAATTTGAGTAYAGTCAATAGAATCAATGAAGGTGCAATGTCCAGTCTGTCTGTGACCATTCATTTGAGTTATATTCTCAGTCTCATTTTCACAGTTTTTAGTCTAACAAGCTATAAAGAAATATCCAAATATATAATGTCATTGACTTGAAAGAGGCAAGGGTAAGAGTGAAGGCAGCATTCTGAATTTGTAGAAAGCTCAGAAGTTAGTATGTACCCAGTTTGTTTTTGTAGCAAGCTTTCTTTTCCAGGAAATAATAATCTTTTTTTTTTCTTAAACAGGTTTTAAATGCTAGTGAAAAAACAACTGTAGACAACTTATTTCAGAAAGACTCGCTTGTTCGACAGAGCCAGGTATGATTGATTTGTTTTTTTTAAGGGGATAGAAAAAGATAAGTAGACACTTAAATGTTTATAAGGCCTCTGTGTTATATATGCTACAGTAAATGTGAGCTCAGTGCGCTTATTAAGCTGTTTCTAATACTTATTTCTTTATAGTTATCTAAGCATTTATTCTGCTTATGCACAGAGATAATGCTCTTCAGTTTCTAAATATCAGATAACTTTTTTCAGGCTAACTTGGAGAGGACTGAAGGCTAAAAGTTATTGTTACTAACAGTCATGATGAAAAAAAGATAAATAGTGTGACAGTAATTGCAGCATCTAGTAAGAAATAGAGATTAAGTACCTGAACAAAATTGATACTGAATACTTAAAAAGAATGGCATAGTCTCAAGACGTGTACATCTTTTATCATGTAGATAAAGTCCATATTCAGAGCTGGGGGATGCAGATGCTTGTRATAGATTTGTTTTAAAAACGCAATTTAATTTTATTCCAGCTGGTGGTAGATTGGCTAGAGAGCATTGCCAAGGATGAAATTGGGGACTTCTCTGATAATATTGAGTTTTACGCAAAATCTGTATATTGGTGAGTTCAGACTTTCTTTTATTTTTTTAATATATATATATATATATATAATATGTATATATTTATATGTTTCCTTTGACTGTAATTTTTTTGGACCTATTCTCAGACTCTTTTTAAAAATGGCTTTTTAGAAGCTAGGCAGTTCATTCATTTCTGTTTCTTTAAATTCTTAGATATAAAAATCAAGTGTTTTTCCCTTTTGCTGAAATGATTATTTTCCAAAGTGAGTGACAGCTTTTGGGAGGAGAGGACAGAGGTGGGGAGAAAAAAACAAAGCAAATTAATTAATCTCTAACTTGAGTGCAGGTTTGGTTTTCTCAACAAGAAATAATGAAAGACGATAGAKGGTTACCTGCTATTTAGCCTATTATTTATACTGAGCAAGCCATTCATCTTATGTATTTCTTGGGTGCTCAGTTCTTTGTCTTGCCTACTCAGGTACTCGTGCCATTATTTTGTATCATTGATCCTTCACTAGTAGCCATTATTTTCACCTTTATTATCATCAATGGGTTTCAAAGCAGGAAAAGTTAAAGCCCAGCTTTGATTCCAGAGGTCTGCAATAAAAGCCTTGATTTTAAGGGCCAGTGAATAGGGGCTTCTGGAGTCATGGATTCATCCCGAGTTGAATTCAGTGTCCTACACTGGCTGTGGAGTGAAGGTTAACGGGGAATTTTGTTCATGAGAAGTCAATTCATAATTTAAATATTCGTATGATTGAAACAATGYGTGCTTTAGAAAGAATATGAAGCTGTGTGAATTGACTCCAATATTCTGCTTCTGCTGGACTTCTGCATTTGCCCAACAGTATCACGACCCATTGTCCCAAACCATGTCTCTTCTGAAACCTTATTCCACTCTGCCAAAACTCTCTCTTAATATTGCATCTTATTAAAAGATAATAAATCTAAATAAAATTGTCTTTACTCAAAAATATTTTGCTTCTTTTAGGGAGAACACACTACATATCCTAAAGCAGAAACAGTTAGGTACTTACATTGGAAGTTCTCGTCCTCTGGTAACAGAGTTGGTAAGTATTATTTAAAAGTCATGTTTGGTTTAAAAACAGGTATAAATTGGATTAGTGGGTGAATGTGTGTATATATTAAAAAAAAAAAAGTATGTGTATATATATTTATGTGTGTCTATATGATAAGTATATAGACACATACACACACAACATGTAAAATAATTTCCACAGACTTCAACTAATTTTAGTAGTAATGTCAAAAATTATAARATACTAAGTTAGAAAAAGGTGAAAATTAGTACAGAAATTGTGAGGACATGAGGAACTAGCTGACAAGATGACAGTCAGTGAGAATGTTGATGGTGGAAGTTTCAGAATAATTACAAAATGAACYATAATTCCTAAATCTGCCTGATGAATCACATTCTAGAACTGCCTTTTTATTATGATGCTAAAAGAAAGAAACTGGTTTTAATTGGAAACATGTCATGAAGGGATTAGCAGTGGATTAAATTTTAAGGAAGCAGTAGATCTCCGGGTTTCTTTTGGGATAAATAGACTTCTCCCTTCCTTCACTAGTCACTGATTTTACTAGCACAGGTACCTGGGTCTATTCAGAGAAGTAAATGCCTTCATTAGTCTTTTTTTCTGCCTGAAAAAAACTCTGTCCCTCAGCAGAAAAACTTATAATCCTGCTTGAAAGCTCTTGAAGGTGAGGTCATGCTGGTTTTGTACACTAGTAGTACAGTGAAACCAAATCCATTGGGATTTCTTGAGAGCTTCTGTAGTAAAGGCTAATGGGAGGGAAGTGAAGGAAAGAAAGGGCGGCCCAGTCGGACAGCTCCTRTGAACAGGCTTCTCAGTGAGTGAGAAGGTGGAGGAGGAAGGAGTTTTGAAGCTGGGGAGGCAGAAGGGGAAAGGATGTTTAAAGGCTGAAATAGCTGGAAGATGGGAAGGTTGAGAAAAGAAGATCAAGAGGCAAATGAGGCACTGGAATTGCTCCCTTTAATAGGAGCAGTGACAGAAGAGGAATAAAATAAATGACAGAGGAAACTCAGAGAAAAGTATAGCTAGATGACRTGTAGGATTTACAGATAGTTTTCCAGCCTGAAGAAGACACATGTGTCATCCGTGGGTGAATGGTGACTTTTTTTTCCCTTTGGCTTCTTGTAGGATCCAGATGCACCTATAAGACAGAAACTGCCACTTGATGATTTGGATAGAGAAGATGATGGGAGACTATTGAAGTATCTCTTCACTCTGATCAGAGCAGGAATGACAGATGAGGCAAGTCACTGAAAGTTATAGTGCCTTCTTAGTTAACTAGTTCAGCTTATTTAGACCCTACTMTTCAAACCAAGCCGTGGATTTGATTTTCTTTTTAAATTTAATTGTCTTCTGGTTTTCAGTTTCTTGTCAATACTGAAAATGCTGACTAGCTATATCAATAAAAATGTTCTGCCTTTAGTTAAGTAACTTCAAATGTAAAACAGATACAAAACAATAAAAAAGGTAGCACTTTTATTTTACTACTTTGCCAAAGTAATGTCTTACTGTAGTGGTTAGATGTTAAAAGTAYTGCCAAACACATGGAATGTATCAAAGAACTAATTGCATTTCTTCTAATCAGTTGGCTATCATACAGACTTTTTAAATTGATTTATTTAAATGGAACAGATTTTGAATGTAAACCAGAAGGGRATGTTTGATGTGTGCTTTCCTCAAGAATAGTGTTAGATTAAGCAACTCATTTTGCTCTTCCAGCATCCGTATAGGTATGTGATTTAAAGGGAGCTCATCATGTTTAGGATAAAAAAAAAAAAAAGACTTTTTTTTTTGCTTTATTGTGCTAACTTTTATAATGGCATATCTAGGATTGTAGCTTGCTCACTACTGAAAGAGCAAGGTAAGGTCACTAGTGTTTACTGAACTAAGGAAGAATTGCTGTTCGTTTTTCTTACAGTAGATATTACATGGCACATAAACTAGATCAACTTGCATGTCTGTACCTTAAATATCTGAAAATCGACAGCCTGTTCAGCATGAAGAGAGTGCAGTTTGACTGAAAAAGTRCAGATCACATATTTTCATTTCTCTTGCTTGTTCATACTGATTTGTGAGTCCTGGAATTACAGCAGTCAGATTAATTGCAGAGTATCTACTTCACTTCTTTTTGCAGGAGTGCAGAATTGAAAGAACTTTGTAAGCAATTTTTTTAATAAAGTTTTTGTTCTGCAGTCTCTGCTATTCAAAGTAGCTTTGAATAAACCCATTTGTGTTAGTGACARGACTATTGAACTCTGTTATGTAGAAGACAGGATTTTTATAAATACATGAAGGATTTGGAAATGTAAGTTAACTGAAAAAAAATGTGACTGCATGAAGAGGGAGGTTGTAGATCTAGACAACAAGGTGATGTCTCAAGCTAAAGTTATCAGAAGGATGTGGAACTGCTGTTTAAACCAGCAGAGATGAGACTAGTATTTTCCCCATATTACTATGACTGTGGAACTATTGACTGAAAAACTAAAACGTTTAGTGAAGAAAGTACCAAAACTTTATTTACTTTCAAACCTCCTAGATGCTTTGGGATTCTTTGTGTGTTTATTATTAATTATTTCAATCATGTTTAAACTGTTGCAAGAAAAGATGGTGCTTCTGTTACCTTGCAATCTGTTGCTGAGAGAGTCCCTTCCTTTCCAGGCGCAGCGCCTGTGCAAACGGTGTGGTCAGGCCTGGAGAGCTGCCACTTTGGAAGGATGGAAGTTGTACCATGATCCTAACATAAATGGAGGTATCTGTCACAAAGGCACTTTGAAGTAGATGTCAAAATAGGACAGACAGCTTGTTCTTGATACCTGGCTCTGACAAAGTGGAGTAATTTGTTCATCTTAAAGGCCTTTTATGTATCTAATTTAAATCTTTTACCATGTCTGATCAACATACCTTTAACTAAAACTTTTTCATGTTATGTATTCTTTGAAACCATTTAAAAAGCAGCTTTATGCTTTCTTTTTGAGAAGCATGCATAATGAGTAGGAAATAAATGTCTGAGAATTCCAGACAGATTTCCTCTGGCTCCGTATAATGTTTCATTAAGCAGTTTTTTTTTTTTTTACATTTGACTTGTACCACCTAGCAACCATTTTGTTGCTTAGACTCACAGAAGTTGAGCTCTTTAGTATCAGAAAACTGGAGAAGAGGACAGGAGGACTGAATTTCAGCCAATTTAAATGCATAAAGCAGTCTGCTCTCAAACTACTTGGAAAACTTTAAATTACATTTTTCTTTAAGTCAAGTTTCTTAACCACTGTCCTCTTCCTAACACCATACATTGCTTCTGACTCTGCAGGATTTAGCAAAGAAATTAAAAACTTGTCTAAGTGCTATGTACAGCTAAGACCAGAGGGCGCAGTGCTTTGCTGTGTCTTTTTTATTTTAGCTGGATGCTTCGCAGTGTCCCAGCCCTCCTTTGCACATGTCCACCTAACCTGCTGTCATTCCTTCCTTTCTGTGGCACCTGTGCTTCTAGTGAGGCAAAGGAATTAGCAGCACTGAAATGATCTAAAATTTACTAGAAACTCATACACCTATTAAAAATCTTGTACTTGTCAAGTTTGTGTTGCTGAATATAAATGTCATAGATGTGTTGTGGTGAAAAATACATTTTTTCTATATTTTTTTTCCAAGGCTAAATAATGGATAAGCTTCAAAATACCATAATTTTACATCTGAATTTTCCAAAACTTCATTGAAAGACACCTTATAGTCCAGTTAGAAGTATCAGGAGCCTTTAGGAAGAGTCACGAAGGGATGGAAAATTGGGCTAATAACAGGAAATGGGATTTAACGTCTTAGTGATTTCTCTTTTTCTTTAAGCAGCAGCTGCTTTTTAAAATATCTTTTGCATGTAGGAAAGGAGCTGGAACCTGTTCAAGGGAATCCATACAGGTGCATTTGGAAACTAAGTTGTTGGCGTATGGCTGAAGAGGTAAAATAATGTTGAATTGCTTGGTGTTATTGTACAAATTTAGCTTTTTTTTATACTCAGTAACATGCTTTTAAGTAAACCCACTCCCTCGTGTTCTCGGTGTATAGAATTTGCTATGAGTGTTTTTAAGAGGGCTCCTGAAATAGATATWTTTTTGTGTTGAAGTGAAAAGAATGCATAAGCTGCACTAATTTTTAAGGCTTAGGAAATGTTTCARGATGACTTTTTTTGGTTGAAGTCAGAACTGCTGACAATAAGTATTTGATTTTCATCTCACATAATTGAATGAGGGAGGTGAAATGTTGCTTTCTTTCCAGGTCAGTACAAAGTTTTCAGATGAGCTATAAGGGGATGTTGTTGGAGGGGCAGCCGTTTGCTCCTCTTATATTGGCTCCTGTTGCATGCCATGGTCGTTGGGGTTTCCCAGTTCTTAGATTGGACACTTCGTTATAGATTAATGTCTAATAAATTTAAAGTGAATRGGAAAAAAAATATTTTTTAACACAAGGTTTTATTTCTGAATGTTTATTTTAGGAGCAGTTCAATAGATATGAGAGAGCAATCTATGCAGCACTGAGTGGAAACCTCAAACAGGTTATGTCCTATTACTGATATTTGGTAGTTGTGCCTTTTCTTCTTTGTATGAGCAGAAATACTGCAATTCCTGATTAATGTACTTTAAAAAATATCTGGTAAGCAAGAACACAGCAAGCAGTGCTTCTTTAGGAGACATTTTCTAGGCTCTAGGGCTGTCTTTCCTTAGTTAAATACACTTGGTAGACTTCTGTTRTTGTTATTGCTGTCAGTAAAAGCACTTCAGATTTTGTTCTAGTTCTTCCTTCTCTGTATTATTTAAGGGCTTGCTCAGTTGGCTCCCTGCTTGTGGGTAGTTCTCACCTGTGTGGATTCTGARCTGGTGAGGGGGATCACCCTGGGTCTGGGGTCAGAGTGGTGCCACATGTATAAAGATCATAGGGCTCTTTCTTTTGACTGTCTCTGTCTTTAAAATAACCAGGGAACTGGGACATTATGCAGGGAACGGACCTTTTGCATCATACATTAGAAAAACAACGTCTTCTGTTTGAGGTGTTAGTGTCTTGTGATGCCTGGAAATCTTATTCTAAATTGCTGTGTTCCTATTCTGCTCTTGTTCTCTTGTTCTCTCTCTGATTGCTTTTCTTGCTGTTTTTAATATGTAGCTCCTTCCAGTTTGTGATACTTGGGAAGATACTGTTTGGGCGTATTTCAGAGTCATGGTGGACACTCTTGTAGAGCAGGAAATCCGAATGTCCGTGGTAACTATAGAGGAGATGGAAGAACTCCCTAGAGATTACTTAGAAACAAAGTAAGTTTAAGTACATTTGTGTTCCTACATTTAAGAAAATACCCATGTTTTCACCATATTCAGGCTAACTTAGTTTTGTGCTTTCTCTCTTATTTTGAAGTTGGACTTCAGAAAAAGTTTTTGAAGAACTTCAGGCAACAGACAAAAAGGTATGTGTTAACTGGTGTTTCTCCTTAGTAACTATCTCCTTTAGTTACTGTAAACTTAGTAACTGTTTCTCCTTTCAACTATCCATTAGATTGTCCTTTTTACTCCAKTGTTTAGTGGAATGACCGTGCAAATATGCACAATGATTAATTTGTTGGAGGCTTTCTGTAATGTGTCCTTGCTTAATTATAACTGCTTTTGCCGTATACTGGCACCTTTTAATGATGAAAAAGATACAGATCTTGTCCCAGATCTGCCAAATGTGCTGATTGTGCTAAAGAAATAACTATGAAGTGTAGTCAGACATAMAAAGCAGAAAAAAATAAGTCTTCTATTTAACACTTCCATAAAATATTTGAAGGTTGATGGCATCCAGGACGTTGTGAGATTTGTGGGCATATTTCAGTTCTCTGAGTGTTTAGGAGACTATTTGGTTAAGCAGACTCTGTTTCTTTTAACAGACAAGATATTTATTATATTTATTATATAACTTATCAGATATTTCTGTAATGATTAAATGGAAGCTTGATTTATTTTTATTTGCCAGAAGATAAAAATAGCATTTTTCATGTTGTTAATTTGAAAGATAGCTTAGTTAGCCATAGATATACCCAGCTGCCTTTCTAGTTCTGTCCTCACTCTATAGGGAATTTAAAGGTGCATTTGAATCATATTTCATGCGTTCATTCCTCTGCAGGAATATTTCTCTTCCACCTTAAAAATATTTCACAATATTTATACATATGTTGTTTATGTGACTTCATAGAATCCATTTTCTGTAACAAAATTATTTATTCTCCAAAACAAAAACCAAAACAAACAAATAAAAACTTAATTTTTCATTTAATACATGGTAGCTTTAACTTCACAGGCTCTGTATTCTGTTTTTTTCTTTCACTTTGTCAATATTCTTATTGTAATTCAAAAGATAGCTGGTGCATTTTCTCTTTACTCTGTGCAGAATACCCTTTGAAATAAAATAGCTTCTTTTTTCTTTAAAACTTTTAAAATTTCTGCTTTATTTGTATTTTTTCTTTCTTTATACATTATACTACAAGATTTTTATTCAAACTTGGGACTTTTTTTCCCTCTGCAGAGAGTGATAGAGGAGAATCAAGAGCACTACCATGTGATTCAGAAATTCATTATACTGGGAGATGTAGATGGTGAGCTTTTTCCTAACTGATCRTTAAATGTCAGCTCTCTACATAATTTCTAGTGACCTTTCCAGAAGCTTAACACTGAATGGGTTTTAGAAGTGCATAGTAGGCAAACTCCACCTAAAAATGAAGCTGCTTGCTTCTTTATTCAGGAATTATGGTGACTTTCTGTAGTTTGACATACAAAGTAGCTTTCCAAGCAGTTGTGAAGCCATGCAAATGCGTTGCAGTGTACATGAGAACATTGTAACTTTTTCTGAGAAGTGACAAAATACACACAGGGAGATCTTCAAACCCAACAGCAAAATCTTTCCAAAACGGATGCAGTTCTGCTTTATTGGACTTCTAAGGATAAAATGCATTTTCTGAATAGACACATAGTTTAGAAAAAATTCCTAGGCATTTTTGCAGCTTTCCTGTGATATGATTAACTGTGAACCACCACTTGCTGCCTGCAGGTTTGATGGAAGAATTCAGCAGRTGGCTTTCCAAGGACAGGAGTGTGCTCCCAGGGCACCTGCTCCGTTTCATGACACATCTTATTCTCTTCTTCCGCACCTTGGGCCTGCAGACAAAAGTGAGTGCCCCTGTGTTTGATTTGCTGTCATAGCAATGTCCACTCAGTAGATTAGAAGTGCACCTACATAAATATGCTGCATGCAATGGTGCTAAGCTACTGCTGGGCTGATGAGGGGCTGCACACCTAAACAGAGTATGTGCTGGCCTTGTATCCCAAAAGCAGCAGACAAAATTAGAGAAGAGCCTCATCCTTCCCCCCARTTTGTCCTGACTGAGGTATTTTTTGCAAGGATGGTGTGTTCCAGACACAAACCCTTTATTGAGAAGGACTCAGAATTCAAGGTTAGGCTTCATAGCAGCCAAGATAAGATGCTGTGTATATAACTTGCTTTTAGACACAGTTCTTGGAGTTGTGCCTATTGCTGTGAGCTCGTGAAATGCTTGTTTGAGGTAAATGGCTCCTTGTGGTGCTGGCTGAACAGGCACTTTAAGAAAGCTTCATTTCGATTTATTGTTAATTTTTAGAACTTAGTGAAAGTGGTATCACTCTTGCCACTTAGCTTCAGCTAAGAAACTAAGGTAACTTGGCATAAATGCAAGTCTGCAGAGACTGCAGACTGCACGATATTCATATTGAGTTAAAATAATAGTTCTTCACAAATGCATGATTCTTAGCTGAAACAGTCTCAGTTGCTTGGACAGTGCTTGGCAGTAACCGGTGAGCCATATGGTGTCAGGAGTTTCTGTCATTCCTGTATACAGGAAAATAAAAATGCTTAAAATGTTGTATGGTAATAAAAGAGGACCTCTAGCACACTGCAACAGTCATCTGTTCTCCTAGCTCTTGAGTTTTCAAGTGAAAAAAGCAATGTGGTAAACTGGAAAGATTTAAAAAAAAAAAAAACCCATAAATCTATTTTAGCAACTGCATGGTGCAAAAAGGAGCTTTCCAGTTAGATTGAGAAGTGTATCTAGATGCTGAAAAACAAAATCTCTCAGAGCACTGTTTTTAGGTAGATTTTCTTTTTTAATTGTCCTCTAAGAAAACAGTTCTCCCAGTTGAGCCAGTTTCAGTCCCAGAGGTTCCTGAAATGTGGACAAGAAAACCTGTGTAGTAGTGATAATCTGCGAAATATGATTGTTTTAGCAAGCTTTGTCATTTAAAATTGATGTTTTGTTTGTTTATGATAAGGAGGAAGTTTCTGTAGAAGTCCTGAAGACCTACATTCAGGTAAGCTCTGTGAGGTACATTTCACTTTTTCTGAGTTCTTTCAGAGGGGAAAGAAGGGAGAAGAAAAGGACACTTTAGAAATTAGAATGTGGAGCTACAAGGCAGTTAATGTTGTCCTCTTAAGCCACGTGTGGAAGTTTGCCTACATATAGAGAGCTTCTGTTAGCAATGCTTAAATAAGAGCAAGTTTTATTATCCCTATTTAGAAGCTGAGAATTTGGTGGATTTTTTTTTTAATGAGAACAAAATAATCAGAAATTTGTTATATGATGTTTAGTATTCATAAGTTATATTATTACAKAGGGGAGATGTACTGTGGGTTCTTAATGCTTGCTTTTCTTATTTCACAGCGAATGATATCAGAGAAGCACACAGATTTAATAGCGTTTTATGTGAGCCACTTGCCCCCAGAGCTAGCTGTTGCTCAGTACGCTTTATTTTTAGAAGATGTTACTGAAAGTGATCAACGCCACCACTGTCTTGAATTAGCAAAAGAAGCAGGTGAGAGGCTCATATTCTAATTGTCAATATTTATCCTGGGTTGTGTTGCTGGTCGGTAGTTTACAACACATAGTAGCCCAAAGGATGGTGCTGGATTGTTTCCATCCTGTCTCTCTTCACTTTTCAATTAAGTAAAACTAGTAGTTTTACATTATTATACTATCAGGTAAAAAAAAGGCAAAACTTTTTTTTTWTTTTTTTTTTCTAATTTGGTAAAATTAAGAATATTGCCTATTCTGGAGGAGTTCTTTGCGGTGTTCCTTCTCAGGCACTGTGGTTGTTTGCCTTGCTTGTAATCTCCCTTCCAGGCCGATATATCAAATTCAAAAGCACCCTAATGAAGTAGCTTTGTCCCTTGTTTGATGGGGCTTCTGTGTCACTCAAACTCAAAACTCGCAAAAAAATGTTACTGCAGGCTTTTCCATCTAGCTTTTCTTCATTACTTTTAGCCATTTCCTTTTAAAAACTTAGCTTAAGAGTTCAGAGGTATAGGTTAGGGTTTCAGAATCTTTAAAAGAACTGTTCTGAACTTCTGGTGTGTCTCAGCTAGATCCAACATTATTTTCTTGAAGATTAAAGGGATTAGTAGTCTTAGCAAATGAATGTGTGTATATCTGTATTAAACTGTGTCTGTGTACACATATACATACATACTGACAGACTGAAAAGATTGTCAATTATTTTATATTATTGTCTTTTTCCTATGTCTTCCATTGTCTTTAAATTCTTAGATATCATTTTTCTAAATGTCTGCAATATATCAAAAGCCTATAACTGAGAACAGCAATGTGAACATGAACAGACCTGTAACAACTGCTGTCAGTAAGGAATTTAATCTGCAACTGAACTCTGAAATTCACTTTGTGGCAAGTCTAAATTCACGATCACTGTTAAATAATTCTCTCTTAACCTAGGTCTGGATGTTGCAACCATTACCAAAACTGTAGTTGAAAACATCCGCAAGAAGGATGCTGGAGAATTCAGCCACCACGATCATATGTTAGATACCGGCACGACAGAGGTGAGTGCATCTGGCAGGGCAGACACTCCAGGTGACAGCACTGTCATTACAGATCCTTTTACCATGCATGGTTTTTCTTTCTCCATTTTTCCTTACATGTGACCATGAGCGAATTCCTAGCTTCTGTTTCTACATCTCCTTGACCTTCTGGGCTGTAGTGTGTGACACGCTGCAGTGTGTCTGTAGGGAAGCAGTAAGTAGAGACAAAGCCCATGAAATGCCTGTGACAAAAAATATGTTGCAGCTGATGAGAGTAGGACATTATTGGAGCCTCTGATTGTTCTGAGGATTAGTCTTCTGCATCTCAGGTGTACTTTATTAAATGCTTGAGGCATGACTGATGAGAGATTGTTAATAGTTACCATTTCTTCTCAAAAGTACTGTTAGAAAGCAAGGAATAGCTTGCAAAGTTTTTTTCTTCTATTCAATGAAAAGTTCTTTCTAAGCCAAGTAGACAGTTTATGTAGTGCAACAGTTAGCAGGCTGCGGTTGCACACTACAAACTTTCTGTTAAACTATGGTGAGTTTTTTCTCTTTTTTGGTTTCAACAATGTATTCATAGTAAATTTGAGGCAGATGCACAGTAAATCCATAAAAACTTTTGAGAGTTGATCCAACAGTCTGAAAATACTGGAATATTTGAAACTGAATTTTTAGATTAGTCTAAACTGGAGAGATTTTTCCCTAGTCTTCATGCTGAAGTTGTGATGAGTGCTGTCTCTTCCTAGTGTTTCATAGAAAATCATGTATTTCGATGACCACATCTACCGTCTTTAACATGAGCTGTGTGCCTGCAGTGTTACCGGATCTAACAGACACGTTGGCTTTTGCAGGTGGATCGTTTGAAGATAGACGTAATTGACTGGCTTGTATTTGACCCTGCACAGAGGGCAGAAGCACTTAAGCAGAGCAATGCCATCATGAGGAAGTTCTTGGGTACCAAACTTCACAGAATTTATACTGTAAACTTTTTAACTTTTTAAATGCTCTTTTTGTTCTCACTGACTCTTGGAGCCAGATATGAATTAATTTTGCATCCAGTCTATTAAAAAGTATGGTTAATATAGTGAAGTGCAAGGTATGATCTATTTAAAATTAAAAAAAAAAAAAACAATTAAGCTACTAACCACAGTTAGTAGCTTAATTGTGATCCTTTGTCAGCCCTTGTTTTATAAATCAAGTATGGAAATTGCAAAGCTGTTGATACTCATCAACTCKTGTTGTCGTAGCATCCAAGAAATATGAGGCTGCAAAAGATGTGTTTGTGAAGATTCCCCAGGACTCTATAGCAGAAATCTATAACCAGTGGGAAGAGCAGGGAATGGATACTCCGCTTCCAGCTGAAGATGACAATGCTATAAGAGAACATTTATGTATTCGGGCATATCTGGTGAGTTTCAAACTTGCTGTGATCCAAATTACTGGCTAGAATTAATGCTGGCTTTGCCTCTATAGTGAAATCATAAGCCTAACTGTGATTTAATTTCCAGCTACTGGATGTCCTGTAGTTGGGATTTCACAAAATAGTGAGCTTCTTTCTGTATTTGAAAGTACATGGGATTTCGTTCACTTAACGAGATTCTTTTCATTACGTAAATAAGTCCAAAATGTCCAAGCACTTTTCCCATTGCAATCCAGGAAGCCCATGAAACCTTCAACGACTGGTTCAAGCACATGAACTCAGCTCCACAGAAACCTTCTTTGCTACCTCAAGCAAGTTTCACTGAGAAAGTGGCCCACGAACATAAAGAAAAGAAGTATGAGGTAGGTAAAACTTCATACGGTAGTTTGCCATTTACAGTCTTATTTTTCATTTTTAAAAAGAAATTAAATACTCTTCCCCCTTGCTCCCACCTCTCATCCCCTCCTCCCCCCCCCCAAAAAAAAAAAAAAAAAGAAAAAAGAAATTCTTTCTGTACTCTGTATTTAATTTAGGAAAGTATTTGTTATATAAGCATAGCAGAATAAGTCGTTTAAAATGTTTAAAACATTTAAAATGGCTCATGCTCTAATGCCTTTGCTACTGAGCAACCYGCTGAGACTCTTTTTACAGGCAGTTAAGCAAGCATATAACTGGCTTATAAGTTTCAGCTGTTGACCGAAGATTTTCTTTAGCTGATATATGTCAGGATGAAAATACTGTGTTGAAATTTATCTTGGGGGTTGAGTGCTCCGCAGTACATTTTTCTAAATTATTATTTGTTTCCTAACTAGATGGACTATGGTATCTGGAAGGGTCACTTGGATGCCCTTACAGCTGATGTGAAAGAGAAAATGTACAACGTGTTGCTGTTTGTTGATGGAGGATGGATGGTTGATGTTAGAGAGGTAAGTTAATTTTTATACCATGGGATGGACTGCAAAGAGATAGCTTTGTGGTGGTCATCTAGCTTAGTGTACTGCTGTCTACTTGAACGCAATTCACTCCGTCTTGCTGTGCACATGACGGGTTTCTTCCCCCTCAGCTGCCCTATGGGGCAGACCTATTGACTTGCTAGCCTGTTTTTGCTTCCAACCCTCCCGCCACGTGGTGCTGCTTCTGGAAGGGAATGCTTTAACACTAATACATCTTCCCTTCCGGCAAGGATGCTGAGGAGGACCCCGAGCGGACACATCAGATGGCTCTGCTGCGCAAGCTGTGCCTGCCCATGATGTGCTTCTTGCTGCACACGGTGCTGCACAGCACGGGCCAGTACCAGGAGTGCCTGAGGCTGGCCGACACGGTCGCCTCCGAGCGACACAAGCTCTACACGGTGAGGCCCGCGCTCGGGAACGGGGAGAACRGGCTCGTGGAGAGACCAGGACCCCCTCTGTTCTTAAACTTCAGTTTCTTCATCTGTCCCGTTCTCTACCGTAGTAAAGAATTTTCTTGTGAACTGACTTAGAGTTGGAGGTAACTGCTGTCGTCTTGAAGCTGACACTGTGACTTGACTACTTATCACAAATGTATCTGTAGTTACTGATTTCTGGAGGGGGGCTATTGAATTAAAATAAGTTGAATTATAGTTGATGTCTTTTGTTACATGTCAGAAAACTTAATGAGCAGGCTRTGTTTCTAAGTAATTGGTTAACTTAACCTCCCTGAAACACAATCTAAAGTTAAATCACTGAAAGTAGTAACAACTAATAAAAAAATTAATAAGAAAAATATAAGGATTAGAAAGCTGAGAGGAAAAAAAATCCACTAAGGCTGAGAAAAAGACTGTGAGGAATTCCTTTGGCCCCCAGAACCAGCTTGGTGCTCACCGGCTCCCAGGCCTTTCCTGGAGGCTGCTTGGAAATACCAGGTTATCTGCTGCTGTCTCCAAAAGACAACCCCAAACACCGAGTGGCTTAACTTTCACACCATTTACTTCATAAATCAGTGCTATGCATTGCAACTAACYATCCCTTTTGTTACGTATTCTTATTCCTAGGTATTTTCAAAGGAAGAACTCCGCAAGCTTCTGCAGAAGCTGAGGGAATCTTCCCTGATGCTCCTGGACCAGGATCTTGATCCTTTAGGATATGAAATTCAGTCCTAGAACCTCATTCCAGCTCTAGTGCCAGAACCTCCTGACCATGACGTCCACATTTCCCCACCTGTAAAAAGAAATAAAATCAAGAAGGAACCACTGGAAAACGTTCCGACGGGTGTGGAACAAAACCAGATCCCCTCCCTGTTCGCGGCCGCCTGATGGGGCCCGGCGTGAGGACGTTTGTTACGTGCCCCTTTTCTTGACGTTTTCTAATAAAAGCGCTTGGCCACGAGCCGCCCCGCGCGCCCCCGCGCCTCCCC